ACTCTTCCTGCTGGTGTCAAATTGTCCCCAGAAGACTTCATCCATTGGTTCCATTCGTCTCTCATGGCAGCTTTGAAGGGTTTGTTAATGCTGACATCAAGTGGTTGGAGCTGGGATGTCAAGCCTCCAGGTATGACGGCAAGTTTTGTTTTTTGCTCTGCAGCAATCTTCTTTGTGTTTTTTGTTATGTGTGCCCTGAGCTGATCAAGCACCAATAGGGCAGGTTTGCGTAAGAGCCCACCTGGTCTCCTGCTCCAAACTTTCTCACACCAGATCTTCATCCCATCCTGATCCATCCAACCCTTGTCATGGACATGGACCATCACTCCTCGAGGAATGTCTTCTTTTGGCATTGTTTTGCGTTTGAAAATCAGCGTAGGATTCAGCTTGGTTCCGTTGGCACAACAAGCTAGAACAACTGTATAATGGCTCTTTTCATGTCCACTTGTCTTCACAGTTACAGTTTTCACCCCCTTCTTATCAACAGTTCTGTTACTTGGAACATCAAATTGAAGGGGGACTTCGTCCATATTTGCGATCTGTCCCAACTCCAACTGATGTGTCTTCCGACACTGAATGACAAAACGATGAAATTCAAGGACCTTCTGCTCATAGCTTTCAGACATCTTTTGGGCAAGTCTGGTGCATGTACGCATGCTTAGTCCATTCCGTTTCATGAACCTGAAGCACCAATTGTGTCCTCCTTTGAAATCAGTAACTTCTTTTTCATCAGCAATTCTTCTTGCCTCATGCTGAACCATCTCTGTGGACACAGGAATTCCAGTTGCCCTTTGCTCTTCAATCCACATCTTCAATTCCCTCTCTAAATCTGGCCATTTTGCTGACTTGCCTCTCATGGCCTTCTGCCATGGTATTTTCAGTAGGGTTTCTTCTTCTCGTAGCCAGTCTTGGATTGTTTTCTCAGTAGGAGGAGGACCAAACTTACGTTCAGCAGCACGATTTCCATTCACTTTTGCAAACTTGGATCACTTTTAACTTGAATTCAGCACTGCATGAAAATCTTTTGTGAGCCATTTCTGGGCAGAATGTGGCAAAACGTAACCTACTGTAATATACTGGTAACAAGTGTGAAACAATGAGCGCAAAGACAACAGGTGTGAAAAAGCAGGAAATGCAAGTAAAAAAATCTACAACAATGAGCGCAAAAACAAGCGTGGAAAAAAGCGGGAAATGCAAGTAAAAAAAAAAATCTACAACCACTGTATAAGACACAGCCAGTTTTTAGACACCAAATTTTTTGAAAAGGGGTGCGGTGCGTCTTATACATGGGGACATACGGTAATCATGTCTGACCCACCTAAGTAGATTTTCCATTGCAGAAAGTACATAAAATAACAAATAAAATTGTAGCATCATAAAGGAAAATTAAAATATCACAGTTAAAATGTTAAGGTCCTCCATGTTAAAAATAAAATTAGATTCATAGGTTTATTAGTAAAAAAATTCATCTCATAAACTCCATATGGTAGTCCATTTTATGTTTATTTAAACCCAATTTGCTTATTGGAGGGCTTTGAAATTTATAAAATTATTTGAAAGAATAAAAGCAAATGAATAACGTGATGATATCCAGAATTTATAAACTTATTCTTATGGACATATGCTTCATGTAGCTGCTGCTTGGCTATCCACATGAAGGTCTAGGGGTGATATTGAAATTGGTTCTCTAAAGCAATGTTTTCAGTGGGCTTAAAATTGTTCAGTCCTTGGGCTGGCCAAGTGGCGCGTTGGTTAAAAGCTGGCTTGGGACGCCAGAGGGCCCCAGTTCGGACCCCACATATGAAGGCCAGTGACACTGCCCTCTACAGCTAAGATGCTGAACAACAGCTCAACCTGGAGCTGGGCTACCGTGTGTAGCCAGTAGCCAGTGTGAGCAGCCGTCCAGAAGCCAGCGACTGATCTGACTCGCCGGGAAGAGCGCAATGATGGTGCCAACTTGGGCCAGTGAAGCAACATCCTCTACAACTAGACTGAAGAACAAAACGACAGCAACTTGTCTGTTCCCCTTCCCCCAATTCCCCAGTGCTATTCCCATCCCCCAATTCCCCAATAAAAATCTAAAAAAAAATTGTTCAGTCCATGGATGTATTTGTCTAGTGATCTAATTTTGTACAAAGATGAAGTTTGGAGAATTTACAATATAAATTTTTTTGATCAATTCATAGATTAGGGGTAGATAGGAAACAAAAGATTGAAGTCTCATTAGGAATTGGCAACACCGAAAGGAAACCATGCATTTGACATAGCCAGTGTGCTCATGTAGAAACCCACCCGCCTTCCCCAGAGGAATGGGGAGTAGGATCAGGATTGGTTTTCCTGGTTAGCGATGGATCTACTTGGGTTCATACCACAGAACATGAATGAGACCTTTCTCATGACCACCACTAAAAACATCTGATCACTACCATCTCTCACAAGTGTTGGTATGAAACGAGAATGCATACTGCTCTACCACCATACCTATTTAGATGTGATCACTGAGGATAGATGGAATAAGAAAAAGAAGTGAGAGATTGACTATATGCCCCATGACAATTTGTCTTTCTGGCTTATAATTATTGTAGAATGTGATAATTATTTGCAGTCTTCCATGTAAGCTGAATGCTCTCTGAGCATTTTATTAATCGTTTTGTATGATTGCCTGGTACAGTGTCTGGCAATTCTACTAATCATGTAATTTTTAAGAATGGATAGAAATAGAAGTTTCAGGAAAAATAATCTTATCAGGAAAATCCAAGGGAAAGCAGAATACTAATAGAGGATAAATTTAGCAACATGATGAGATCAAGTCCACAAAATTCAGTTACAGTAGAACATGCTAGTGATAAAAAGCTTAGCACATTCTTAGAAAATAACTATTTAAAGACAATAGCAATAAATAAGATTAAATATTAATAACTTAATCTAATATAGGAAGTTACAAGTTTATTCAAACAATTAAAAGACTAAGGATTGTATCTGGGATCTAGCTGAGGAAAATAAAATTTACTAATACTTTGCAGGTCAACATGAACACTTAAAATGAGATCTGAGAATTAAGTTTGCATACTTGCCATGGTGCGCTTACATTGGCAGCACTGTACAAACAGCTCGGTAAGGTTTCATAACCTTGGTATATCAGTGTCTCACAGCTGTGTTCGTGTCAACGTGTGGTGGGTGGTGTCTTGCCGAGAGGCATTCATTATTGTTCTCTGTTTTTGTGTGCTGTCGCGAGAATGTCTGAGCTTGAATTAGAGCAACAAAAAACATTAAATTTTTTGTTAAATTTGGCAAGAGTGGAAGTGAAATCAGGGACATGTTAGTCCAAGTTTATGGGGATAATGCCATGAAGAAAATGGCAGTGTACAAATGGATTAAACATTTTTCTGAGGGGAGAGAATGTGTCACTGATGAAGAGAGGTCAGGGTGGGCAGTAACGAGCAGGACTGATGAAAACATTGCAAAAATTCATAGAATTGGGCATCAGAATTGTCAGTTGACTGTGAGAAGCATAGCAGACCAAGTAAACTTCAATAGAGAAACAGGAAAACCTTAACTGAAAATCTTGGCATGAGAAAGGTGTGTGCAAAATGGTCCCGAATGAGCACACCGATGAACAAAAGCAAAGGGGAGTCCAAGTTTGTCTGCACCTTTTGGAGAGGCAAGGCGATGCTTTAGGCCATGTTACCACTGGTGATGAAACATGGGTTTACCAACATAACCCTGAAACAAAGCGTCAAAGTGCACAATGGAAGTCAGCCAGTTCTCCACGATAAAAAAAGTTCCAGGGCCGGCCGAGTGGCGCGATGGTTAAGAACTGGCTTGGGACGCCAGAGGTCCCCGGTTCGGATCCCACCTATGAGGGCCAGTGACACTGCCCTCCACAGCTGATATGCTGAACAACAGCTCAACCTGGAGTTGGGCTGCTGTGTGTCGCCGGCGACGGCGTAGGCTGCAGCCCCTGTGGCAGTGGGTTGCCATGGGCTACCGTGTGTAGCCAGCAGCCACAGTAAGCGGCCGTCCAGAAGCCGGCGACTGATCTGCCTCGCCTGGGAAGAGCGCAATGATGGTGCCAACTTGGGCCAGTGAAGCAATGTCCTCCACAACTAGACTGAAGAACAAAAGGACAGCAACTTGTCTGTTCCCCTTCCCCCAATTCCCCACCGCTGTTCCCATCCCCCCAATTCCCCAATAAAAATCTTTAAAAAAAAAAAAAAGTTCCATCAGTCCAAATCAATAGTCAAAATGATATTTCTAACCTTTTTTGATATCAGAGGGATTATTCATTATGAATTTGTACCAACTAGACAGCTAGCCAAGTTTACTATTTGGAAGTGCTGAAAAGTCTGCATGAAAAAGTTAGACGAAAATGACCTGAACCTTTCGCCAACAATTCATGGCTCTTGCATCATGACAATGCACCAGCTCACACAGTACTGTCTGTGAGGGAGTTTTTAGCCAGTAAACAAATAACTGTATTGGCACACCCTCCCTACTCACCTGACCTGGCCCCCAATGACTTCTTTCGTTACCTGAAGATAAAGGAAATATTGAAAAGAAGACATTCAGGACATCAAGAGTAATACGACAGCAGCTCTGATGGCCATTCCTGGAAAAGAGTTCCAAAATTGCTTTGAAGGGTGGACTAGGCGCTGGCGTCAGTGTATAGCTTCCCAAGGGGAGTATTTAGAAGGTGACCATAGTGATATTTAGCAATGAGGTATGTAGCACTTTTTCTAGGATGAGTTCGCGAACTTAATTGTCAGACCTCATACCCATGTAAGAATATGTATATATGATAAAAAGAAGTGAGAGTTTATGGGGTGTTATAATTAACATTGATGGATAGGCTTTTCTCCCTTGCAGAGTTCTATAATTTGTAAGTACTTTTGAGATTAGTACCAGTTTAAGGAGTGAGTTTTGGAGACTTCATAAAATTTAAAGCTTTACTCCTGATTTTTCTTCAGCTACCAATCAGCCTCTTTGTCCCTTTGTTTCAGGATTTAAGCATTGAAGAACAATCAGAATGTACTCAGGATTTTTACCAGAATGTGGCTGAAAGGATGCAGACTCGTGGAAAAGGTAATCCTCTGTTAGCGAGCCCTGAGGAGTTGCTTGTGGTCACACAGGGCCAGACTGCTGGTCTCTTAGCAGTTTCTCTTTCTCTGAAGGCCTGGCTGGTGTGCCCACCCATCCTATAATTACTCCAACATTCCAGTAGCTGGTCTTATACTTAGCAGTGCCTTTGAATACCACCAGGTATATTGTTCCGAGATAATCAGAGCAATTGGATAATTTATTGAGCAGTGTTTAATAACTTTATTAGGGGTAGGGACAGAATCAATTAAAATCCTTTGGGAGGCTTCTAAATGAAACCCCCATCTTGGAATTATATTCTTGGTGAGTTATTTGTACATGGTTATGTATTCCTTATGTGGGTTGGAGCAGGAAAAAGTTAAGAACTGCTGATTTAGCACTTTAGGTTTTTAGGGATTGTTCTTGAATTGGACTTCCATTGATGTTAGATTTTAGGATGTACTTAGCACACATGTATATCTGAGAAATCTGTCCCATATGTGTACTTTGGAGGGATCTCTATGGTTTTATAGTAAACCTCAGGAAAATGAAAGGGTGAGTGTTGCCAGCATTCATTAGTCTTGGGAATTTCAAGTGCTTTCCTAATGTAGTGATAGAGAATGACCCACGCTGAGGTCTTCCCACCTGGATGTTTGTTAGGAAGACCTGACACCTGGTGGGTCCTGACAAAACAGCTTCAGTTAGAAGTGGGGATTCTGGGCCGGCCAAGTGGCACATTGGTTATGAGCTGGCTTGGGACATCAGCTCTGAGCAGCAGGGCCCCAGTTCAGATCCCACATGGGGGCCAGTGACACTGCCCTCTACAGCTAAGACGGTGAACAACAGCTCAACCTGGAGCTGGGCTGCCGTGAGTCGCCAGCGACGGCATAGGCTGCAGCCCCTGCTGCAATGGGCTGCCATAAGCTACCATGAGTGGCCGGGAGCCTGCGTGAGCGGCTGTCCAGAGGCCGGCGACCGATCTGCCTCACCCAGGAAGAGCGCAATGATAATACCAACATGGGCCAGTGAAGCAGTGTCCTCCACAACTAGACTGAAGAACAAAAGGACAGCAACTTGTCTGTTCCCAATTCCCCAATAAAATAAAATAAAAAAAACTTGTCCCCCAATTCCCCAATAAAATCTTAAAAAAAAAAAAAAGCAATGGGGATTCTGTAAAAGGCAGTCCAAAGGTGAGGTAATTTTTTAAAGGGTATTTTTCAGTATAACATCTTATACTTTTGTTTCTGGGTGTGTTTAAATTAGTTTGCTGCTATGTAGAAAGTACTATGAAAACATACTCTTGATTTCAAATGTCCATTCTTATCTTGAGCTTTTGTATCCACTTGGATATTTCAGTGCCTCCAGAGAAAGTTGAGAAAATAATGGATCATATTGAGAAATATATCATGACTCGCCTCTATAAGCATGTGTTCTGTCCAGAAACTACTGATGACGAGAAGAAAGATCTCACTATTCAAAAGAGGATCAGGTAGTTGATTGTTTTGCTTTGTCATGTTGTCTAATAGGCCCCCCTTATCTGTGGGGGATACGTTCCAAGACCCAAGTGGACACCTAAAACGACAGATAGTATCAAACCCTGTATATTACTGTTTCTTCCTATATATGCATACCTTTGATCAAGTTTAATTTATAAATTAGACAAAGTAAGACATTAACAATAGTAATAAAATAGAATAATTATAACAGTGTACTGTAATAAAAGTTCTGTGAATGTGGTCCCTGTCTCTCTCTCTCTCTCTCTCTCTCTCTCTCTCAATATCTTATTAAGTTGGGAGCTTTCACCTTTCACTTAAAGGAAGCCCGTATAGCTTCTCTTTGGTATACCTGAATTGCCAGCATCACTACTCTTGCGTTTTTAAGTAAACTAAGGGTAACTTAACCACAAGCACTGTGATACTGTGACAGTCGAGCTGATAACCGAGGTGGCTACTGAGTGACTAAGGGGTGGGAGTGTCTACAGCGTAGAGAGGCTGGACACGGGAATGATTGACATCCCAGATGGAACGGAGTGTGACAGCACGAGATTTAATCAGAACAGCACGCAGTTTAAAACATGAATTGTTTATTTCTGGAATTTTCCATTTAATATGTTCAGACTGTGTTTGACCTCAAGTAACTGAAACCTCAGAAAGCAAAACTGCAGATAAGGAGGGTCTGCTGTACTGCTTTATAATGGGAAGAGGTCTCTACACATTCCCAGTTCAACTCACATTCCAATCCAGTTTGTCCAACTCCACCCCAGAGTCAACACACTGAAACAGTTCTTTTCCTTAAACATGGTTGGAGTAGAATATCATGCTGCTTACTAAGTGACTAATGGACGGGTAAAGTATACAGTGCAGATACGCTGGACACAAGGATGACTCACGTCTCGGGTGGGACAGTAGGAGCTTTCATCACACGACTCAGAATAGCAATTTAAAATTTAGGAATTGTTTATTTCTGGAATTTTCCATTTAGTATTTTTGGACCACAGTTAACTATGGATAACTGAAACTGCGGAAAGCGAAACCACAAATAAGAGGGAACTTATTTACTACCAATTGTTGGAAGAACACATTGTGGGAAAACAGGGCACTTGAATTTCAAACCTTGAGAGCAAGTAACAGCTAAAGTACCTGCCAAATTACCTAGATTTTAGGATGTACTTAGCATACATGTATATCTGAGAAATCGAAGGAAATTTCATTGTTTTCTCATTTCCTTGTACTACCTTGTCAGTCAGGAAGCTGTGAATGCCCACATCAAGGCAGTGGGTACCAGTCTCCCACGCCCTGATCAGGCTGCTCACTATTGAGCCATTCCTCCAGTCCCATCTTCCCACTGGCACTGGGCTGATAACACTTTGCAGAGCATCCAGTCTTCCATGGCCGTCCTCTGCATTCCAATGGCAGTGAGACACTTAGGAAATAGGTCATCAGGGTTGGGGACCAGGGAAGACTGAGCAGGATGAGATGTTTTCTGGAGCAGAGGGGCCAGGGAATTCCAAATGGGATTCCCAGGCAGTGTGACTGGTGACTGGTAGACCTGCCTGGCGTCACCAGGAGTGAGAAGTGGATGGTGGGAAGATGGAAGACAGCCAGAAGTAACCAGATGGGCTTTGGGCTGAGGTGCAGGGTGAGAGCCTTAAGCAGGCAAGTGGTGACGGTCAGCGGCAGAAAGTCTGAAGTGAAGCTATGATGTGATCAGGGAGCTCAGTGACTCAGGCTGGAGTGACACATGCTGGTTGATGTCTTACACAGGCTCTGGTATGCCTAGAAGTCAAGGGCAGAGCCTCGAGGACATTAATGGTGGTGGGCAGGGAGCAGCAGGTTTTCTCAAATCTTCATTCTCAAGTATCTAGTGCTTTTTTTTTTAATTTATTTTTTTTATTGTTAGTTTCAGGTGTACAGAACAATGCAGTAGTTACCCTTTTCACCCTCACAAAGTAACAACCCCCCTCCCCCCACCTATTGCCCTCCCACCCCCGTATCATGCTTATCTATTACAATTCCATTGAATCCGTTCCCACTCTCTACTCCATGTCCCGAGACTATATGTATATATAATTATAGTTGACATACAATATTATTCAACATCAGCTTCAGAAATACAATGCAGTGGTCAGGCCTCTACATCGACTATGAAGTGGACTCCCCAACAGGACATGGGTCCATCTGGCCCCCTAAGAAATATTTACAACATTATTGATTATATTCCTCAGACTGTCTTTTTCTATCCCTGAGGCCATATTGCAATTACCAATTTGTATTGTCTCATCTCAAGTATCTAGTGCTTTTAAGGCTTGGTATAACCTCATTTCAGCCAGTAAAACTGTCTTATGCTTTTCTTGTGATAAGTGCAGAAGAGAAGCCTCATTTTAGGATTTGAGGTACTTTGGCACATCAGCGGAGCTAACGTGCAGGGAAGTATGCTTGGGCCTAAGATTACCTCATTGGTCGGTGGTGTCCTCTACTTCCCCATAACTGAAGGAAATGACAAGATGAATGACTGCAGCCCATCCTTTGAACTCTTTTTTTACTGTCTTTCCCTCTTGTAGAGCCCTGCACTGGGTTACACCTCAGATGCTTTGTGTCCCTGTTAATGAAGAAATTCCAGAAGTGTCTGATATGGTGGTGAAAGCGATTACAGGTCAGTGAAACTGAGACCTTTTACATTGGGATGATTTTCCCTTGAAGCTAACATTATGTTTTATAAATCTATACTTATTTCAGTGAGCAGAAAGACAGTATAAGTATTTCTAAAATGCAGACTGCCAGAGATATATTGGAATGTAGTAAAAAGTGATTTGCAAGACTGTTAGTTTCCTGAATTTGAAGCATTTTTATTATCAGGTAAGCTACTTGTCCTCTTCACTTTCTATGACCAAGGTCTCTTACTTCTTGGGTATTGAACTAAACTAAGGTCCAATACGGCTAGGGTAAATTTCTTAACACTTGGTTGCATTTATACATTCAAAATAAGTTCGGAGAGAGGGAGGGAAGGAATTGGTGAGGCAAGGTAATCCCCAAGCTAGAATTACATATTAAAATGATGCTTCTAATTGGTTGTTAATCAGAGATATGTTTCGAATTATTTTTCTGGTTGGTTCAGGAAGTATATGGAGTACCCTAAATTGATGTGGCTCTGCCATTCTGGTCAGGTACAGGTGTTACCAGGAGGGACATTTTCCTCCATTCTTGTCTTCTTGAAGGAAAGAATTCAGTCAGGAGACAGAGTTTGTGCAGCATAGGACAGCAAGTAGTTCACTAGTAAAAGCGAGTACACTCTGAGACATGGAGTGGGCTGACCCAAGAGGGAAGCGGCCCCTCCTTACATCTTGGGATAGCTTTTATCTCCATGGATAGAACCATTTCCCCCCTCCCTCTGTTATCTTCCCCTCCCTCTGCTGAGGTGTCTCATCCTCCCCTCTGATTCCCAGGGTTGTTTCTCAGGGCAAAAGCGTAAACCCATTTATTTCCCATGATTTGTTTGAGAAGCTCCTTAAAATGGTCCTGAGAAGCAGGGTGTATATTCTGATAAGTGGGATAGTTTCCCTCCCTCTCTGGCATTTTACCTTTTTCTAATGACATCTTGTTCTCAGTATCCTGCTGAGCAAGCATGGTGTTTGTGCCCCATGTGAGAGCAGCTGCCAGGGACCTCCTAACGGGGTTGGTTCCATCCTTCTGTTCATTTCTGTCTTCCTACCTGCCCTATCATAGGCACCTAATAAGGTTCCTATTTCTTATTCATAGGGATAATTCAGCAGAAGTGCAACGCAAACATTTAAACATCAAGAATTCCTAGACATCCACCCTTGTCCAACTTCTCTCTAATTAAGGAAAAGAGTTGGAAAGATTTGCTCATTTAGAGATTGTTAATTCTGCTGGGAGGGAAAGTGAGTCAGCTGATGTGACAGTGTTGGAGGCAGGCTCTTAAGTAGGCTCCTTTGGTTATAAGAACCAAAGACTCACTCAAGTAATAGGAAGAAGTGGGGGTTTGCTTAAGATATTGTCAGTGTTGGAAGGGAGGCCAGACTCTCACAGAAACAACTCCAAGGCCCCTCTAGGGACTGGGTTACTTGCCGTTAACATGATTTTCCCACTTTCTCAGATTCTGCTTCTCTTTGTATGTTTTCTCATTTCAACTCCTATTCCTAAATGAATTACTCTTTAATTCCCATTGTAGAATGTAACCAGCCTAGCTAAATACTCTCATCCTGGTTCTTCACAGCTTTTCTGATAGGCTGCGTCACAGGTCTGATGAACTGAGTCCTGTGGGTCAGGCCCACCCCAACTCCTACCTTGTTCAGGGAACATTGTAAGAAATTGAGGTGAGAGCCTCTCAAAAGCCTGGATGTGGGTCTTTTAGATTTTTACAAGTTCAAGACCAACTGGTTTATGTCTAAAGTACTTCATAGGAATTTATGTTGAGGACTCTTCTGAAAAGCCACAGGACAGATCTTGTAAAACCAGAAACTGCAAGTGCCCAACGATTGTTTACTTAAAAATAGAACTAAAGAAAGAGGATTTCAATACATAGACAGTCTGTTAATAGAATTTGAGAGGTGCAACTTTTCAGGGTACTAGGATCGAATTTCAAGAGATCTTTTGATACCAAAAATTCAGCCTCAACATTTTAAAAACCTTCTTACTCTTTCTCATTTTAGCCCTGACATCTTGCCAATCCAAGTGTAGACATACTCTGCGTCTGTGAGGACCAAAGGTGATACGATCAGTTTCTTCCTGATCTAAAATTGCCAGTACGGGAGTGTTTAGAGAGGACAGTCTATAATAATGGCCTTCAATGTGGAGACATCAGTTAAATTTCTCCAAGTCGTCCCAGGTGCTCCTGATCAGCACTGTCAGTTTTGTTCAGAGATACACCGCATGAGTCCTTTTCCATTGTAGCTGACATCGCTCAGCTAGTGGGTGGAGGCCAGGGACGCCCCTAAGCCCCAGACAGTGCACAGGACAGCCCCCAGCAAAGGGCTTTCCAACCCAAAGGTAGGTAGTGCCCAGGCTGAGAAACATGACCTGGAAGTATAGCCGCTTTGTTTCACACTCCATTAAAGATGAATCTTAGATGTCTGCTGAGACAGAGTCTCCGCACTCAGCCCTACCTTTCCTGCTGATTAGAAGTAACAGCCCTGGACAGGAGACACAAAGCAATCGTCTGAGAACTCTGAAAAGTAAATAGTAGCAGGCAGACTGGGGAGGGAAGTCACTACTAGAAGAACAGCTGTTACAGGGAAGAGTTTCCTGTTTGGTCAGACTGCAGGGCCATGCAGATCAGGGTCTTGTGCTTTGGGGTGGGAGTGCTAACGGAAAAGCTCTCAGGCTGCCGGATGAAGAGGGTGGGAGAAATGCCTTGGATCTAGGTTCCCCGCTTCTCTTCTCTTCTCTTCTCTGTACCCCGCTGTCCCTGCCTCTTGGCAGTGGCAGCTACACATGCATCCAGAGAAAAAGTAACTCATTTTCTATTCACTTTAAAACTTAATAAGGATGAGAAAATAGTTAATTCTTTAAAATAGAGACTAAAAAGCAACAATAAAAGGCTAAATAGGATATATGAAATAGAAAAAAATGTTAAAAAATCTTCCTGATATCTTTTTTGTAATAAGCTCTATGTAAATAGAAAAAGAAAAATAGACTGAGCTATAGTAACACTAAAACAACACAGAATTTAAAAATTAAGGGAAAAAATAATAAGATAAGTGAAAATTATATAATTCACAAAAAGGGTGTTTAAGTGAGGGGAATAAAAGCATTAGTAAGTTATAATAAAATAAGGTCTCTGCACTCTTCAGTGTTTCTGTCCCCCACACGTGGCTAGTGGTCCTGTGGGTCCCTCAGGCAGCTAACCTCAGGGATAGGAGCTGAGAGCAGAAAGAACTCTGACCTATACTACCATCCCGCCTAAATCTGACACTTTTATTCCTGCTCGTGGCGAGAACTGCTATCAGATTCAGCCCCCTCAGCTCTTTTCTTTCATGATGTTCCAGGTGGAAAGCGGATACGTGCATCCAAAGACACACTCCCTCCCTTGTGTGCAGTGTTGTAGCAGTGAGCTTGTACCAGCTTCTCACCACCACTTTCCAGTCCTTGTGACAGAGTGTGTGCATACGGGAGCCCACCAGTGGGACTTGGTGGTAGTAAAGGGCAGTGAACTAATTATTTCCTGAAATAAATAAAATGTTGATGAGACTAATTTTATACCCTTGCTTTATCCCTCAGTTCAGCAGCGGGTTCTAAGTGTCCTAAAGTTTCTGTAGATGTTCGTTTACGCGCTCTGAGTACCACCCACTGTGGACCCCCATGGGATGGGCTTCAGCACCTGTATCTTGATATCCAATATAAAGATGCTTTGTATAGTAGCTGCATTTCTAAGAAACAGTATGCAAATTGAGTTCTAAACCGAGCTTTACAATTATTAAGAGGAACAGGAGCAGGAAAAGACTATTATTTGTCCATGGAACTCATAAGCGGTTTGCCATCGGGCTTTAGAGTCAGATAGACTTGTTTTCGAATCCTCCCGTTACTTGCTAATCCTCCAACTTCTCTGGACCTCAGTTCTCCTAATAATAATAGTACCCTTGCATCCTCTGAGGATGAAGAGAAACATGCTTGTAGAGCCAGCTGTTGGTGCCTGGCTCATGGTCTTGTGTTCTGTAAGTATGAGCTCATATTTCCTGGCTTTGCCATCTCAGGTTTTCATCCACTCAATTAACAGGTGGAGAAAGGGTAGCGAGCTGACCTCTGTGACTGCGTAGCTAATGCTGCTGTTACACAGGCATTCTTCACTGGAGTTATGTCTTCTGCCTTGTAGACATTATCGAGATGGATTCAAAGCGCGTGCCCAGGGACAAGCTGGCCTGCGTCACCAGGTGCAGCAAGCACGTCTTCAGCGCCATCAAGGTCACCAAAAATGAGCCAGCCTCAGCCGACGACTTCTTACCCACTCTCATCTACATCGTCCTGAAGGGCAACCCCCCACGCCTGCAGTCTAACATCCAGTATGTCACTCGCTTCTGTAACCCCAGCCGGCTGATGACTGGAGAGGATGGCTACTATTTCACCAACCTGGTGAGTATCTGCTTTCTTGGTGTGACAGAGAGAACCATGATATGACAGGCCACTCCCAGGCCTATGACAGGTTAGTGCTCCTGAGTTAAGGAATCAGCATAACTGAGGATGCCTGCTTGGTGTCACAGAGCACGTGTGACTAGGCATGCAAACACCCCCCCGCTCCGGGACTGGACTCTTGGAAACAGCCCCATGAGGGGTCGGCTGCTGTTGGCCACCACTCTCCGGGGTCCAGGGTGTGAGAGCCGTGCACTTAGGTAGCTTGTTCCAACCATGAGCAAGTCACATTCTGGACTTGGACTCCTTTATTAAAAGACTTAGAATTTATTTTTCATTTTATTCCTGTAAGTTACGTATGAGAACTGAATACTGAGATATTTTAATAAAAAGTCAGGTTAGAGGACATGAAATGATTTTCAACTATTTTGTTACAGTGCTGTGCTAACTGATTCTAGGCAGGACAGTATTAAAGTATATCTATCTAAGTTATACAGCAAATACTTCCTTTTACTGACTGCCAAACTCCTGCTGTTTGCTTAGACTAGATATACTGTCAAGCTAATGAAGTTGAGCCGCAAGACACCTTATGTGCTCCGTTTCCTGTGCTGGATGTTGTACAGGTGATAAATAGGTAGGGCAGGAAGCCAGGCCACATAAGGACGCTTTTCTGCATCAGTTGTCTAAAAAGTCAGTCCTTGAATCTCCAAGCCTCCAGAAACGTGTGGTGACTGATTTTTATATCCTAAATAGCACGTATTCACTTTTGTACCTAATTTTGTGTTTGTTTGTTTTTTTCCTTTAAGTGGGGTCCCAAAAGCATATCAGGTCCCTCAGAACCTGGACCCGGCCCTGTTACCACTGTCAGCCTTTGTGTTCACCCACCTGTGACTGTAGTGCTCGCATCTGCGCAGGTGCAGGGACTTGGGGATGCGTTTTCGGAATGATGCATGCTCCATTATTCGCAGTATTTTTCATCCTTCCACACATGGTTGTTTATACTCCACAAAAAAGCTTTAGTGACTGAAGTACTCATATTTCTTAACATAAGTGAAGCATGCACTTGACAGCTAGAGAAGAGCCTTTTGGGTTTAGTTGTCTAGAGAACATGAAACAGTCTGGAAAACCTGAGCAGTGTGGAGATGGAGGCATGCTGGGGGGTAGGAAATGAGACCAGGAGCTATCTGAGGATAGCCCTGCTTGTCGCCTGCTGAGGAGGCTGCTGGTTCCCCTTCACCCTGTAGCTTCCTGGAGCCTTGACCTGCAGCCTTAACTGTGCTCGCACCTGCTGTTTTTATCCTGTTCTCGCCTGACTTAGAGTGGGCTTCTAGTCCCACCTCTCCCATGAGACTGCCAGTTGCCGTGGGCACTCAAGCTTCACTTTGCTTCACTTCCTTTACACTCTTGCAGACTCCTTTGTTCCAGGACTGCTTGTGCCCCTTGACTTCCACAATTGCACTCCTTGTTTCTTAGTAGGTTTGTGGCCTCTGCTTCCTCTTAAATAGGGTCATTCCCTGGGGCTCTGTCCTCTGTACACCTCTCTCCCTAGGCCGTCTCCTCTGCTCACAGCTCTGCTGGTCACCTGTGCAGTCATGACCCACAGGTTTGTGTCACCTATTTTGACCTCACGCTGAGCTCCACTTCCAGCTGTTTGTTGTGCCTCAAATTTAATTTGTTCAAAACTGAAACTGCTTCTCCATCAAATTTCTTTTTCTTTTCTAATATACAGTTGACTCTTGAACAACATGGGTTTGAACTGCATGGATCCACTTATACACAGATGTTTTTCAATAAATACTGTAAATGTATTCTCCTTATGATTATTTTAACATTTTCTTTTCTTTAGTTTACTTTATTGTAAGACAGTATGTAATACATAACATAGAAAAATGTGTTAACTATTTATATTATGGGTAAAGCAGCTGGTCAGCAGTACGCTATTAGTTAATTTTGGGGGGAGTCAAAAGTTATGGGTTGATTTTTGACTCGTGGGGGTTGGTGCCCCTAAACCCCATGTTGTTCAAGGGTCAACTGTGCACTGTTTCCATTGGTGGCAGTTATGTGTCCATCCCGTAAGCCAGGAGTGCTGGATCCCCTGAGGCGACTCTTTTCTCCAGGTTAGGGGCACAGTGATTCCACACAGTATGAGCTCATGTACAGGGTTCCGCTGGGCCCTTCCCATCAGGTGAATCAGTTGTAACAAATCTTTGCTAAACACCCCTTAAAGAGATATTTGCTTTTTTGTGAGTAATAGTAGGACCCTGTGAATGAGTTTCTCAGAAGAAATTCTGAGAGCTTCCTGTTTTTCTGTTTATATTGCACATTTTTCTTGTGAAATAGCTTTTATTTTTTTTTTTTAATGTGAAAGTGGTGTGTGCCCGTTGTAGAAAAATGTAATCAATATAAAAAAGTATAACTAACGGGTGTATGTTTCACTGAGCGTTAGTTTAGCATCTCTGTACTAATAATTGTTACCATTTATTCACTGCTTTCTGTAGACCTGTGAGCTAAGCATGATACGTGTTGTGTTGTTTAATTCTCACAGTAAATCTGGGCGGGATTGCCCCCATTTTACAGATGCGGAAATCTCACAGAGCTTAGGTAACTTTCCTAGCGTCACACAACTGTGCTGTCAAGTGACAGGTGACAACTCAGGTTATCTTATTTCAAAGCTTGTCCTTTTAACCACATGATTTAAACTACCTTTTTGAAGACCAGCAGTCTGTGTGCCTCACCAGTCCACGAGGACATGCCCAGTAGCTGGCCATGCCCAAGTGGGCCCTGTGGGGCAGGTAGGATCTCCAGGGGATGGGTTACCGGGCGTGCCCCCCGTGCGTGCCCCCCCGTGCGTGGCGCGGAGCTCCTAGCCACAGTGCTTCTTCTGCCTGGAACGTGGCAGGGAAGACAGAGCCTCCAACTTCAAGGGGTTACCGAGTTTGCCCATGAGGAGCTCTGGAGTAGCAGTGTGGGACAGATGCTGCAGGGGCCTCCTCAGGTGTGTCAACCCACGCAAGGCCTGGCACCTATGACCAACCAAGAAGAGAATGAACTTCTGACAGCCAGACTCCATGGGAGTAGTAATTAGATTTCATTGTGTTTTTTGGGGTTTTTTTAAAGGAAGAAGTGCATTGTTTCAGATGGGAGCATAAAGGAAACATGATTGGCTAGGAGTTCGTAGTTTTGAAGCTGAAGTTTGTGGATATTACCATATTTCCCCATGTATAAGAAGCACCCAATTTCAAAAAATTTTGGGTCTAAAAACTGGCTGCATCTTATACAGTGGCTGTAGATTTTTTTACTTGCATTTCCTGCTTTTTCACACCTGTTGTCTTTGCGCTCATTGTTTCACACTTGTTACCGGTATATTTACGGTAGGTTACGTTTTGCCACGTTCTTCCCAGAAGTGGCTCACAAAAGATTTTCGTGCAGTGCTGAATTCAAGTTAAAAGTGATCCAAGTTTGCAAAAGTGAATGGAAATCGTGCTGCTGAACGTAAGTTTGGTCCTCCTCCTACTGAGAAACAACCCAAGACTGGCTACGAGAAGAAGAAACCCTACTGAAAATACCATGGCAGAAGGCCATGAGAGGCAAGTCAGCAAAATGGCCAGATTTAGAGAGGGAATTGAAGATGTGGATTGAAGAGCAAAGGGCAACTGGAATTCCTGTGTCCACAGAGATGGTTCAGCATGAGGCAAGAAGAATTGCTGATGAAAAAGAAGTTACTGATTTCAAAGGAGGACACAATTGGTGCTTCAGGTTCATGAAACGGAATGGACTAAGCATGCGTACATGCACCAGACTTGCCCAAAAGATGCCTGAAAGCTATGAGCAGAAGGTCCTTGAATTTCATCGTTTTGTCATTCAGTGTCGGAAGACACATCAGTTGGAGTTGGGACAGATCGCAAATATGGACGAAGTCCCCCTTCAATTTGATGTTCCAAGTAACAGAACTGTTGATAAGAAGGGGGTGAAAACTGTAACTGTGAAGACAAGTGGACATGAAAAGAGCCATTATACAGTTGTTCTAGCTTGTTGTGCCGACGGAACCAAGCTGAATCCTACGCTGATTTTCAAACGCAAAACAATGCCAAAAGAAGACATTCCTCGAGGAGTGATGGTCCATGTCCATGACAAGGGTTGGATGGATCAGGATGGGATGAAGATCTGGTGTGAGAAAGTTTGGAGCAGGAGACCAGGTGGGCTCTTACGCAAACCTGCCCTATTGGTGCTTGATCAGCTCAGGGCACACATAACAAAAAACACAAAGAAGATTGCTGCAGAGCAAAAAACAAAACTTGCCGTCATACCTGGAGGCTTGACATCCCAGCTCCAACCACTTGATGTCAGCATTAACAAACCCTTCAAAGCTGCCATGAGAGACGAATGGAACCAATGGATGAAGTCTTCTGGGGACAATTTGACACCAGCAGGAAGAGTGAAGAAACCAACTATAGGAGAAGTTTGTACCTAGGTGAAAAGATCCTGGGATAATATCAAGATTGAGATCGTTGTCAAGTCATTTAAGAAGTGTGGCATTTCAAATGCCATAGATGGAACTGAGGACGAGGCAATATATGAAGACAGTGATTCGTCATCAGACATAGATGAGGACAAGCTAATGGTTGGGAGTTTTGACAGTGATGAGGAGTTGTATGAATTTTATGATGAATAAAGCTTGAGTTCAATAACTTTATATAATACATTTTTTTTCAAATTTTGGGCCCCAAAATTAAGGTGCGTCTTATACACGGGAGCATCTTACACATGGGGAAATACGGTAGGTAATTAGACTGTTTTGTCTACTTTTGCTTCTGTTTTAAATTCGTCATAATAAAAGGATTTTTTAAAATCAATTTGAATATTTGTAGTTTATGACTATAATAAATACCCTTCTCTTCTTTTTGTAGTGCTGTGCCGTGGCTTTCATTGAGAAGTTAGACGCTCAGTCTTTGAATTTAAGTCAGGAAGATTTTGATCGATACATGTCTGGCCAGACTTCTCCCAGGAAGCAAGAATCTGAGAATTGGTCTCCTGATGCTTGTTTAGGTGTTAGGCAGATGTATAAGAACTTGGATCTCCTGTCTCAATTGAATGAGCGACAGGAAAGGATTATGAGTGAAGCCAAGAAACTTGAAAAAGACCTAATTGATTGGACGGATGGAATTGCAAAAGAGGTTCAAGACATTGTTGAGAAATGTCCACTTGAAATTAAGCCCCCAAATCAGTCTTTAGCAGCTATTGACTCTGAAAATGTTGAAAATGATAAACTTCCTCCACCATTGCAACCTCAGGTTTATGCAGGATGAGAAAAATGTATATGGATAATATTTATTTGAGCCTAAATTGTAACTAGCTCTTACCACAGTCCACTCATTGGATCTAGAATATAACTTAATTGCTTATAAATGTCAGCATTTTTAAAGGTACAGTTTGTGGGGATTGTTTTTGTTTTGGTTTGGTTTGGTTTTTTCCTGGCAGGGGAAGCTTAATAAAATTGGGTTGTCGGAAAAGTCATGACGTATTTTTTCTATGTTTTTCATTGCAAAAATGCGTCATGACTTTTCCAACAATCCAATAATAAAGCACTATTTATTTTAGTTACTGGAATAGATTCATTTAAGGCATGTGTGAAAATTTTGTCTAAATCTATTTTTCTCCATGATTTTCCCATGTGCTTCCTTTGTGGCATTCAAGGTGGTTTGGATTTGGGTAAATAATTGCCTCTTAGAGGATAAACAAATGAATGCTACAAGATGTATGTTTAAAGGAATTCAATGGTACCACTATTCTACAGTTTGAAATAATTTTATAATTGTAAAGATAGAAGATATATTGATAAGTATGTAAAATTGTAAATATATAAAAAAAGGAATGGTGTGTGCTGTGCATGGCCTTTCATGTCTTTTTAGTTTAAAATAGTGTGTTGAGTGTTGCCTTGAACCCCATTTTATTTGGTTTTCCCCACTAACATGAATCTAGAAGTATTTAGACACACTCCCCTTAACATATGGACTCCATCTTCAACAGTATGGTAACCCTAACTGTGAGGTCCTGTGTAGTCAGAGACTATGACGTCACTGAGGTTCAGGGTAATTTGAAGTCCTAAAAGCCACTGTGCAGTATAGTCAGTTGAAGACTTTGAACATGCTTCTCGTCCGTCTTTATTCACTTGGCAGATATTTATTGAGCTCTTGGATGTAAATAAAGGAGAGCTTGCTCTGGGTCACAGGACAGAGGAGAAGGGGCTCTGCTGCTGAGAGCTGATCGGGAACCTCAGAGCTATGCGGTGCAGGGCTCCTTTGCCTCTAGAGTGTACGTTTTGCGTTGTGGACAACCCAGACACATGCCATGTGAACCTGCCAGGGTTTCTCAGCCTCAGCACTGCTGACATTTGGGGCTGAGGGCTTTCTGGTGAGAGGCTGTCCTGTGCACTGTTGGATGCTAGCAGCACCCCTGCCTCTGGACCCACTAGATGCCAGGAGCACTCCCCATGGTTGTAAAGAATCGTCTTCAGACATTGCCAGATGTTTCCAGGGTGGGGGGCAAAATCGCCCCCAGTTAAGAACCACCAATCTATTCTGTAAGCAGGGGAGTTGTCCTGGTGGTTAATATGATGTAACCAAAGAACATTGCAGTAAGTGCTCAGGATAATGTTAGCTGACATCTCATTCAGTGAAGCCTTGCAGCCACGGTCAGTGTGGGCCCTTTTCTAACCAAGATATGCATCTGTGGTCCTCCTCCCCTCAGTGACCCCTGCAGGTTATCAGTGTACCTGTGAACTTGTGACTCATCCCCAGGGCACCGTTCTTGAACAAGTTCACACAAGCAGTAAAAAAGGTTTTTTTGCTTTCCTAATATCTTGTTAATAATGTACCACAAATTTGTAGTGCAGTAATTTTGGAATAAAACTAGGGTAAGTATAAAACTTTATATTTTACTTAAATTTACATATAAACTATGAAGCTGACACATCCATTGTCATAAGCACTGAAGACATGAAGCATTTCACTGAGTCAGCTGATCACCAAGCTCGTGTGGAGTGGAATTGAATACCAGTAAGAATTTACTTTTAGAAGCCTGGGCCCAAATGATTTTCACAGAAAGCTCCCCCCAACCTGCTTTCTTTTCTATGTACTTTCTAGGTGCTAATCCAGGCATATATACTCTTAATTCTCCTGGAACTATATAGTTCTTTTAGTCATTGTACATTATGTTTGTTAAATAAAATATGCATATCAGCCTCCCGCTAAAGATGTCCTCTTGATTTCTGTCATACTTTAACTTGTTGCACTGATTGTTTTGTGTAGATCTCATATTGGTTGAATTCTTCAGATACGGACTCTTGCCTTAAGTAGAGGCTTATATTTCTCTTAAGTCAGCATCAATACTATGGCCAGAGTTTCTGTTTCTCAACAAAGTATTGATATTTTATGTACTATAAATGTGATTAGAATGAATCTTTGGAACAGAAGTCTTTATTAATGAAGTGTCATGATCCAGGCCTCTTCCAAATTGATTTTTGATTCTTCATCTTAGGAAAATATACATTATTAATGTTTTCATGTTAAAAAGGTTTTCCTTTTAAGCCACAGACATCATACTTTAAAATGAAACATTAGAGACATCCCAGTTAAAATAGCAAGAGAAGGATGTTTGCTGTCAATAAAGTTAGTATTGTTCTGAAAGTTTTGCCCAAGGTACTCAAACTTCAAGCAGAAATATAGGTAGAGGGGGAAAGGAGCTAATCTAATAACTATGGAGCTATTATATAGCCTGGTAGTGAGGACATGAACTCGAACTAAAACGCTTGAATATGGTTTTGAATTTTGACTCTGCTACTTATTAACTGGCCTTGGGCAGGTCCCTCAGGTTTCACATTCCTCATCTGTGAAATGAGAATAATAATAAAACCTGCTTCAAGGGGTCGTGAGGATTAAATGACTAAGACACTACCTAGCAATGCTAAGTGCTCAAGTGATACCATTATTTGTAGGTGATTTTTCTATGTAGAAAACCTAAGAGAATTGGTATCGATGCTATTATTAAATTTCACTAAAGTAGTGAGATATAAAATATTAAAGTAGCTATTAAAAGTAATTGTACAAAATGACTTCTATATCTCGTTACTAGTCAGTCAGAAAATATAATGGGAAATATTTATTCACAATAGAAACAAATATAAATCACCTTGAAATAACAAGAGCTTTGGAAATTTATATGAAAAAAATTACAAAATTGAGTGAGAAACACACTAGACACTATACAGGGCCTCGGTGGTTACATAGGGTCCTGTGCTTAGAAGGTCCCTGTGGTTGGGCTTTAATGTTTTGTCTTTGCCATCTTGGAATTCTTAATAATTTTACATTTAAATTTGAGTTTTTAAGTGAAGTCTGATGGGACAGTGGAGTGTGAAGTGGAGGGCTTGAACCCTCAGCTCACATACAATCCTGTCATCCCACAGGCCGGGTTCTCTATATTAAGGTATAAATATGTACTTCATGAGGTACTTCTGGTCAAGATGGCAGAGTAGGTAAACACTGAGCTCCCCTCCTCTCATGACCACATCACAATTACAACTAAATTATAGAACGACCATCATTGAGAACATCTGAAGACCCGCTGAACAGACGTTTTAGAGCTAAGGCTATAAAGAAGAAGCCACATAGAGACTGGTAGGTGGGGTGGAAACAAGGAACAGGTAGGTCCCACACCCATGATGTGGCGATTAAGAATCCAGAGAGATATCTCAGCTGTAGAGGTTCCCACCTGAGGAGTGAGGGGTCCCAGCCTGGGACTCTAGTGCTGGGAAGAGGAGTCCCCATAAAATCTGGCTGTGAAAATCAGAAATTGGGACTGAGTGAGATAGAGGGCGGCTGGAGACCAAGGCGCTGCAGGTCTTAAGGGGACCCTGCACACACTCACTCGCTCTGAGCTCCAGTGAAGTAGCAGCAGCTGGAAAAGCACCAGGGACATACCGGGAGAAGATGAATTGACTAGCTTCGGGGTGAGAGCTAGAGGCGTAGGGGTCTGAGCAGCTCTCTGGGATGGAAGTGCTAACAGGCACCATTGCTCCTTTGTTGAGTGCCCCTCCCACCCAGCCGGCTAGGCACAAATCATGGCTCTCCATTAGCCTGGTGGACACCACCCTGCTCGAGTAATTCCCTGAGACCTCACACTACCCAACTCCCACTCCCATCCTGCGCCTCCACCAGTGTTTCCTACAAAGAAGCGGCCAGCCTCTGCTCATGCTGCAGACTTTCAGAATATCTATTGAAGGTCCACAAACCTCAAACAATTAGCAGCTGGACTCAGTGTTCCCCGAATCTCTTGCTAAGTGGCCCCAAGCCCAGCACAAGAGGAGATCAGTCCCAAATGGCATTGTAAAACCCATCAGGTGGCCCCAAGCCTGGTATAATTGGCAGCCAGTCATGGCTTAGAACACAGCTTAAACTAAGCAAACACAAGCCCAGCACAGGTGGCAGCCAGCCTCAGCTCACATTGTGGTGCCCACCAATAGGTCCCAAGCCTGGAACTAGTGACAGCCAGCTTTGCTTCACAGCATTGCCTATCCTGAGCACCTCAAAGCCCAGTGCAAGTGGTAACCAAATCAGATCATTTTATACCTCTTACTAGGCAGCCCCAAGCCAGGCACAAGTGGTGGCTGATTTTGGCTTGCACCAGAGACTTTCCCAAGGGACTCCACACCCAACACACCACGTGGCCAGTTTCACACAATACAAGAGCATCACCCAACCAGCTTCACAAATGACACCCAAAGAATGGACTTGGCTGGCACCAGGACTCCACTGAAGTGACTCTCGCTCTGTAGGGTCAGCCCCCAGACAGCAGCTCATCTGTACGCAAGGCTACCACTAACATCCAGTCAGTCTTAGGGTCAAACCCATCCACTGACATGCCAATATCAATCAAGGCTCAACTACAGCAGAGCACACACAATCCACACAAGGGACACACCTGGAGCTCAAGTGACCAGGGAGACTGTGCCACTGGGCCCCACAGGACACCTACTACATAAAGCCACTCTGCCAAGAGTGGGAGATGTAGCAGATCTACCTGATATATAGAAACAAAAACAAGGAATTGGCTATAAAGAGGAAACAAAGAAAGGTGTCCCAACTGAAAGAATAGGAGAAAATACCAGGAAAAGAACTAAACAAAATGGAGACAAGCAATCTACCAGGTGCAGAGTTCAAAACACTGGTTATAAGGATGCTCAAACTTAGGGGAAGAGTAGATGAACTCAGAATTTCAACAAAGTGGGCTGGCTGAGTGGCTCAGTTGATTAAGAGCTTGCTCAAGAGTGCGAGCTCTGAGCAACAGCGGTTTGATGCCCGGCCCGAGCTGAGCAGCCGCTGAGCTGCCAACAGGTGGCAAGATGGCTCAGCTAAAAACAAACAAATAAAACAAAAAAGAATTAGAACTTCAACAAAGAAATAAGAAACATATAAACAGATAGAAAACATAAAAGAACCAGTCAGAAATGAAGAATACAAAAACTGAAATAAAAAAATACATTAGAGGGAATCAACAGCAAATTAGATGAAGCAGAGGATTGAATCAGTGAGTTGGAAGATAAGATAGCAGAAAATACCCAAACAGAGAAGCAAAAACAAAAAATAATTCAAGGGGCCTCTGAGACATCAAGTATGCCAATATTTGCATCATAGGAGTTCCAGAAGGAGAAGAGAAAGAGAAAGGGATTGAAAACATAATTAAATAATGAAGAAAAATTTCCCTAACCTGGTAAAGGAAATAGACATACAAGCCCAGGACACCCAGAGAGTCCCAAACACAATGAACCCAAAGAGGCCTACACCAAGACACATCATAATTAAAATGCTAAAGGTTAAAAACAAAGGCAGAATCTTTAAAGCAGCAGAAGAAAAGCAGTTAGTTACTTACAAGGGAGCTCCCATAAGATTATCAGCTGATTTTTCACCTGAAATTTTGGAGGCCAGAAGTGATTGACAGGAAATATTCAAAGTGATGAAAACCAAGGACTCCAAACCAAAATTACTTAGCAAAGTATCATTTAGAATCAAAAGACAGGGCCGGCTGAGTGGTGCGTTGGTTAAGAGCTGGCTTGGGATGCCAGAGGACCCCGGTTTGGATCCCACATATGAGGGTTGGTGACACTGCCCTCCACAGCTAAGATGCTGAACAACAGCTCAACCTGGAGCTGGGCTGCCGTGGGGCGCCGACGACAGCGTAGGCTGCAGCCCCTGCTGTAGCGGGTTGCCATGGGCTACCGTATGTAGCCAGCAGCCAGCGTGAGTGGCCAGCAGCCGCTGTAAGCAGCCGTCCAGAAGCCGGCGACTGATCTGCCTCGCCTGGGAAGAGCACAATGATGGTGCCAACTTGGACCAGTGAAGCAATGTCTTCCACAACTAGACTTAAGATCAAAAGGACAGCAACTTGTTTGTTCCCCTTCCCCCAATTCCCCAGCGCTGTTCCCATCCCCCAATTCCCCAATTAAAAAAAAATCTTAAAAAAAAAAAAAGAATCAAAGGACAGATAAAGAGCTTCTCAGACAAGAAAAAGCTAAAGGAGTTCACTACCAAACCAGTTTTACAAGGAATCTTAGAGGGACTTCTTTAAGACAAATATATATACCGGGGGTGCCAAAAAAAAATGTATATACAAGTGGATACTTTGGCCAATGTTGTTCAAGCAGTAGTTTGCCATAATCAGAAGTGTTTGGATGTTGATGGTAACCACTTTGAGCACCTCTTGTAATTGCAGAAGTCAAACATAACTTGTATTTGTCTGTTGTTATCAGTATATACTGAGCATTACAATTGTAATACAGTTTTACTTAATTAAAATATGTATACATTTTTTAGCACTGTGTGTGTGTCTGTGTATAGAATAATAAACTGTCAAATCTATCAACAATTACTTTAAATGTAAATTGACTAAATGCTCCAATCAAAAGATAGAGTGGCTGAATGAATAAAAAAAAAATCACCCTTACATATGCTGCCTACAAGAAACTCACTTCAGATCGAAAGGCACACTTAGACTGAAAGTAAGATATGGGGAAAGGATATTTCATGAAAATGGAAACAAAAAAAAACCTGAAATACCAATACTTATACCAGACAAAATAGACTTTAAAACAAAGGCTATAACAGGAGACAAAGAAGGACCCAATAATCCCACTTCTGGTTATTTATCCAAAGAAGCCCAAAATGGTACTTCGAGGGGAAGAGTGCATCCATATGCTCATT